TCTCTGGCCTGGGAACGTCTCAGAGTCCCCCAGGACGAGCTGGAAGGTGTCGCTGCGGAGAGCGGGGTCTCTCCTGCTGCCCCCCTGCCGCACCTGTTAGCGGATAAGCCGGCCGGACGGACAATTTATATTGTTAGTCTAAATTATTATATTTAAAATTATAACTCTAATTCAAGCAGAATAGCCTATTGTCAATATAATCATGGAGTGTGATTTATTTTCAACTCAAATTTTCTTCAAACTAATGAAATATAAAGTTATTAGGGAGGAAAACCCGCCTAGATAACAGCAGACTGGCTGTTCATAAAATATACGACAGTTCTGGACCACTCGTAAATTTTGTTCGTATCTGAAAAAAATCTTAGAATACGAAAACATTGGTGATTGCCACAAATTCTCCTAAATCACTCGTACGCACAACTTAAGAACAAATCTGTGCGTACGAACGGTTCTTGCATGAGGCCCAATGTTTGCAAAACAGACTGAGCTGCAAACTTTTTTTTCGTGTGTTTGCTGATGTCAATAAGCTGCAGCGGCCATGTTGACTTCCTGAAAGTTTCATTAAAACCCGTTCAGTGGTTCATGAGATATTTTGGCAAAAGACAGACTTTCAGCAGCAGATGACAGACAGTGTAAGACTGAAACGAGGATATTTCTGCTCTTAAAGTGGCTTTTATCTGAGAGCTGCTGCAAATAGAAACCAGAACAGAAAGGCAAAGGTTCCTGCAAAGTTTTTTCTTTTCTTTTAAACAGATATTTAACCACGACACTGAAATCAGTGGAGATAAAAACGGTTTGGTGTGGCTCGTTTTATGAGTTTCTCTTAAAGAGGCTGTCGTTTGGGTCATAAGTTATATATTTATATTTCTACAAACAAGCCCACAGCYGCCGGGGCTCCCCTGCCGCCTGCACACAGAGGACACATTCATCCTAAAATGGGCACCATGAGGAGCCTGAGGGGACGAGGAGGGGGGCGGCAGACACACTTCAACCTAAAGGAATTTATTCAGGCACTTTGACTGACGTGGCTGCGCTGAAGACTCCAACACAATCTGTGATAATCAGATCAAACCGGCTCCGTTAATGATCGTTAATGATTGGGTTGTGAACTCTGGAGGAGAGGATGTCAAAGTCATCGTGTTCACCTCTCCGGTTCTGTTTGGGTTCACGTGAAATGTTTTGTGGTTTTAGTTTGCAAGCTGGAGGCGATTCAAACGTGCAAACCTTTTTTTTTTCATACGTGTGGAAATGACGAGGTGAAACGTGACCCAAATTATACAARGTTTGTGAAATGTAAATAAAAAGAGAACGCAATAATTTAAGTGGAACAAATAGGAAACAGCTGGAGGGAACATTTTCATCGTCACCTGATAAAAGTCGCGTCGTTTTGTTCTCGGCTTCGTGTCACTCGCCACTTCTCACCATGTGACAAATGTGGCGCTTTATACGTGAAAATTTCATGGCCACATGACCTGCAGTGATTTTCAACCTTTTTTTTTTTGAAGGGGAAAATCGATAAACAGATTTCGCCACTTTTTTTTTCCTGAAAATGATCATCCTATTTGATTTCATGAAAAAAACACTTCAATCCACCCTCAGCTTATTCCTCCTCTGGAGCCGAACAAACCCAAAACCCCCATCCTCCTTACGGACCGAGGCCCAACTTTAGTGGTCGTACCAAAAACAATCTACAGGAAGAAYWAAKTAAAAAGARGTGAAATTTGAATGAAGTTTGGCAATGATGTTGAGACGGGACTGCGCAGTTAGGTTTGTGATATTTAGCATGTTTGAGTTTTATATTGAGTTTGAATCAAAACAACGAGACAAACTTTTTGTGGGGGAACGACACAACATGCCCACCTGGTTTCTTAACTTTTCTCCTTCTTGATCTTCTAGTTGAAAAAAAATATATTTTCTCTTTGGATGTTTCGTWATGCAAGTTTATTTACCCCAAAACCAAAAATGTCTGCCTCCGTCTACAACACGACGTGACAAACTACCCAACTGTCCGACTTCGAGTGTTGTCTCCGAGGTGAAGAAAGCCCGTGACGTGATGTGCAGCAGGAGGGGTTTTGTGTCTCCAGTGCCATAGTGTTGGTAAGGTTCGGCACGGTTCCAAGCCATTTCCATTAGGCCAGARTCTTGGAACCGGCCCGTTTTTTAGTACCGACTTCGTTGTGGTTCCAAGTAGTCTCAGTTGACACCAAAATGCGACATCAGAACACTCTTCATCACTAGCTGCGTTTCCATTGACCATGAAAATGCGCAAATTCGAATTTCAAAAATAAATTTGCTCAATGGAAACACGTCAATTTTGAAAAAACTTCCTTTTTTCAACAAAATGTTTTTGCGCTAGGTTGAGGTGGTTTTGCAGCCGTATCGAAATTRGTGTTTTTCGCAAAACTGCAATGGAAACACTTTTTTCGCATCACGGAAGTCACGTGAKCAACAACCGGCTGTTTCTACTGGTGAAAAAGACGACAAAGAAGACAACAGGAAGTAGAAGTCGTCGTAAAATCACTAAAGTTGTAAAAAAAAAGGTAGTAAACTCACCGACTACAATTTCCCAAAAACACAGCATACGTAGCCGCTCCGACTTGCCGCTCAAAAGCCTCAATAAATGACGCCGACGTCTCCTCTGATGACGAGCGCTAGTGTCGTGGTAGCAACATGCTATGTGTTTACATCCATCGCCGCCATGTTTGTAATGACTTATCACGAGAACAAACATATTCACGCATGACTTTAATAGCATTTCTTACTTAATGGAAAACACTGCAGTTGCGAAACTGTTTTTTTTTTTTTACATTAATATCAGTAGAATATCGACAAAGTTTTGCGCACATTTGCAATGGAAACACAGCTACTGATTGGCTGAGGGGTGGTCACTGGTTGCGTCTGAGCTGCCTTTACAACAACAACTTGAGGCGCCATTTTTTCAATTGTAGCAGCGRCATTAGTCGTGTTTCCATCTCTTATTTTGAGCATTAACTCTTTTTTGAAAAACCCCAAAAAACTCTCAGAACCTCTGAGAAACAACCTCTGAGAAAAACTGCCTGTAAAAAAATATATAATGGGACAACTTCATTTGGTAAGACTTTTTAATCTCCCATCATCTACAGTTCTAAACGCCTGCCTCTCTGATGGTATGGGGGTGCATGAGTGCCTCTGGCTACACATGTGGAAAGGCACTATCAAGATTTTGGAACATCTGCTCCCGTTCAGCAAAGAAGAGCTCCAACTGACAGGAACAGGACAACATTCCCTCCAAAAACTCCAGAACTGGTCTCCTTTTTKTTTTAAACAGGAGATGCTTCACTTTGGGGCCATCAAATACTAAAATACAATTTTTTTCTCCAACAAATGGTGCAATTCCCTAGTTTCAACTTTCATGTTTAAATTGATTTGTGAGATTTGCAAACCGTTACATTCTGTCTTAAATCCACTCAGTCCAAAAAGATTTTTAATTAGGTCACCATTCTGTTTCACTTAAACACAAAATCTTCAGTGACCCCCCCCCCCCCACACACACACACACACACACAAACTGGGGGTCATTGGGGGAGGGGTGTGCCCCCTTCCTTAGAGCATCCCCCCGCTAGTTCAAGCTTTAAAGTCCTTCAAAACTGAACAGTTTTCCACTAAAAACTAAAATATTCATCAGAATTAATTTCCTGTTGTAGTTTTTGTGTTGCTCCAATGAAAGCAGAAATATTTCATTAACTAACAAAACAACCGTGTTTATGCAGAGGTGGAACAAACTGAGTAAGAAGCTTTTTACCGACCTTGGAAGCAGAAAAAGCCAACAGCAAACATCACATCCACCGGGGCTTTCCTCCGCCGAGTCCCTCCCGGTAGGTCCATCCTGTTGACCGGTGCTCCCTGGTTATAGTTTCCCGGAGAGGAGAGGCAAAGCTCGGCGGATAAGGAGAAGCGAGTCGGCGGTTAAAGCTCAGGTGAAACCAGCCGAGTTTCCTGCGCAGCTCCCCCCGGGGAGGAAGGGAAGCCCAGGCGGCCTGCTCACCTGGTTCAACGGGGAAAGGGCAGTAACATGTGGGGGGGAAACCGACGCGCAACGAAACKAGGATCCGGCAGCCGCGCCGAAAGTTTGACGCGGAGTTTAAACTTCCAGGTGGCTTTTCGAAGAGGTGGCTGCTGGAGGATGGTATCCCGCCGCGACTCGCTTACAGCCCGGCTCGAGCAGCCGCCGTGTCCTCCGCGATCCCCAGAGCCGCTAAACTGCCGAACCAGCTTCTCCACCGCCGCCGCCTTCTTCCACCAGTAGCGAGTTCGGCTCCAAGTTGGCTTCCTCCCACTCTCCTCCTCCTCCTCCCGGGTGAAAARGTTCCCAACACCAGCGTATAGATGGCGGTAATAACACACACTTGTTCCGGTTTACACTTGTAAACATAAACGCTACAAAATAAAACTAGCTCGCGCGTTAACAAAGCTTTAGCAAGATTCTTCTTCTACGTTTTTTAAATGGCTGTTGATTAGCATTTTAGCTAGCGATTTTTCTGTCTAAAATGTCAACAACTTATATTTTTATATAATTACATTATTTATAATAACTTCAAAAAATCATTTCGCATTATTTTCCGTTAGGGATATTTGTTTGCCAAACTACTATTGTTTTATCTTGATTATTATACTTTTTATTTATTTTTATTTTATTTAGAAATTTATTCATTTCACTTGTTTATGCACAACAAAGGACAAAATAACATGCAAAAAATAAAAACAAATTAAATGAAAGGCAGCAGCAGAAGAATAAATCTTATGTCTGCCCCTTTTTTAAGTGGCATATATTTAAGCACGTAATATAATATTATATTAATAATACGTAGAACTTGATGGGTTCAAATAAAATTTTTGGTTTTATTTTACTTTTTGGGCAAGCAAAGAAAAAAAATTAACGCAACGAGGCAAAAAAAAAATACATCATATTTTGAAACTCGTCGTTTCCGCTTCGGCGTGTGTACTTCCGGCAACTTGACGACATTCCCGTTTCCGGTTTTCATATCTGAACAGGGAAAAGGAATACAACAGTGCGACCCGCTGGTTTTACTTGAACACTGACTCTTTTATTTAAAATTTGTCTTCAATATAATTCAAATTTAATCAAATGAAAGGTCAATTTTTAAATATATTTATGTGTTGAAAATAAAGTAGCTTTTATGTTTTTATTTTATTACCTTAGTTCATTTTTCAGTGTTAGTTTTTATATTTTATGTATGTTTGCACTGGAAACGGAGTGACTTTAATCTCATTGTACTAGTACAGTAACAATAAAGYCATTCTATTTTATTTATTTTATGTTTAAAAATTACAAACAACTTAAATGTTTAAAGCATTGCTATAAATTTATTTGTTTTTAATGTAGAAATATGACAAAAATGCACTGTTAATGAAATAAAAGTTAATTTATAACTGCTTTATAGGGCATGGCTCAGACTGGAGACCTGTCCAAGATGTCCCCCGTCTCTCCACACAGCAGCTACTGGAGAGAAGTACGAGGAAAYGGGGAAAAACAGGTAAAGAAAATAGCTGAATATTTATTTAAAAAAATAACCTCCTGACTTCTGAAGGAGTACGAGTTTCTGGACACGAGGGCGGCATCGCTCACACTCACGTTTGAAATGTCTCAGGGAGCAGCGGCAGCTCTCACGCTCCACTGAACTCTGCTACTGAAGGAGCCTCTCAGCAACAACTCACATTAAAAGCTCAGACGTACGGAGGGATTAGCAGCGAGCAGAGAAAAACCCCGGGCCGGGTAGGGAGAAGTAACGATGCACCACGTCCTGTTCCCACAGTCTGGTTACTTCCTGCGGAGCTGGAGCTCWGGGGCATTTATTAAACTAAGTAACATTCACTAAATTAAAAACAAGAATCAATAATAGAAATTACTTTTATTCAAGAATCCACATAAGAGAAAGTGACACCAGCCTTTAGTTATTTCATGAGAAAATAAAGTCTAAATAGAAGCACATTAAAGTCAGGGTCCTGATCAAGTCTATGATTCGTAAACCTAAGATCCCACAACAGTTCACATTTCCTACAAATACGAAATGAAAGCAAAACGCAGAATTAAAATCATTACACAACATTCCAGTTCTTCAGAGACTAAAATGCTTCAATCACCTGAGAGTTGTGCAAARAAATCATATAAAGTACGATGCAGTCGAGCTTAAATCCTGCAGTTCCAGCTTCGTATTTCATCACGATGCAATAAAATCTATATATCTATCAATATATCTATATTTAGGCTCCGGGTCCAAAAAGCCTCGAGTGTTTTGGGACTTTTATTCCACTGTGGTGAAACTTAAACTGAGGAGAGAAACTTTTCAATATAAGCAGTAAAGGTTGAAGTAGCAGCTTTTTACAGGTAAATTTAAAATAATAAAAAAAGTCACGTGACTTAAAAACGTGTCAGCTGAATAAACATTTCACCCTGTTTCCCCAAAGCTTTATCAGTTTTARATTAATGCAAAAATAATAATCTCARCAGGCGGGACGAGTTCCCAACCCAACATGGCACCTTTTCTATTTAAAGATATAAAAATCTACTTGTTTATTTTCACGTCCTAACAAACAAATGGCACATTTAGGAGTCATAAACATGAGAAATCACAGGTCAAAGTTGAAATGAAGAGATGAACCGGCACAGGTGAGCTCTGAGAGGTTTCAGCAGGAAGTCTCTGACTCTGACGATGTTTGTGTTCGGATCAGACGCCGTGCGGTCGGCCATCTTGGTGGGTGCTTCAGTCTCCTGCGCGCGGCTCAGTTTCCGGTGTAAAGGTCCASGGTGCTGGAGCTCAGACCCCGGCTGACTCTGAAGTTACCGCCTTCTCGAGTCTGACGGAGCAAACGAACAAAAACATTTTAAAAAGCAGCTTTAAGAGAAGAAATGTGACCGAAATCTATTTCATTTGAAGATTTCACCTGGAATGAGTCGTCGCTTGTTTTGTTCAGGTAGTTCAAGGAGGCGGCTCTCTTCATGCTGATGGAAGAAAAACAGGAAAACAGGTCTGAACYCGGATACAAAAAATAACTTTGGGCTAATTTAGCTATTTAACTTTTAAATCTATATATTTTTGCGTCATTAAAATACATTCAGATCTTTCCAAAACCACACAAAAATGTTCTGCTACGGCTACCTCTGATTTTTCTTAAGCTATTTTATCTTCTAGCTAGTCTTTTGAGACTTTGTGAACATTTGCTACATTAGCTTTTAGTCTTTCGATAATTTCATCTTTTAGCAAAGCTTTTGATGCTTTTACAGTTTTTCTACATTTATCTAACAGCCAGCTTATTGCTGCTTTTAGCCTCTAGCTAGTCTTCTGATACTTTCAGCTGACCTTTTCCTATTTTTAGCTTTAAAAGTATTTTGTTTCTTTTTGTCATCTAGCTTGCCTTTATAATTTTTTTTGCTATTTTTATATTCACTATAGCCTTTAGCTACAGTTCTACTTTTGACTTTTTGTTAGTCTTTTGCTATATTTACCCATCTTTTYCCATGTTTAGCTTCTAGCTAGCCTTTTTAAAATTTTGACCCCTTTACAACATTAGCTTTTAGCTAGTCTTTTGATGTTCAGAAACAAAAATAAGATTTTACACCACCATAAAGCCTTTTAAAACTTTTAGGCTTTTGCTGCTTTTAGCTACTTTCAGATGASCTTTTCCTGTTTTTAAGCTTTAAAATAACCTTTGTTACTTTTGTCATTTAGCTTACCTTTAGAAGTTTTTAGCTATTTTTTCATCCACTATAGCTTTTAGTTACAGTTGTTCAACTTTTAACTTTTTGTTAGCCTTTTGCTACATTTACCCAGCTTATTGCCATTTTTAGCTTCTAGCTAGCCTTTTTAAAAGTTTGAGACACCTTTGCTATATTAGCTTTTAGCTAGTCTTTTAATAGCATTAAAAACAACATTTTACACCACAACACATTTTAAAACTGTTAAGAATTTTGCTACTTTTTGCTTCTAGCTAGTCCTCTGATACTTTTAGCTAGCCTTTTTTTTATTTTTGCTTGTATTAGCCTTTTGTTACTTTTATCATGTAGCTTTTTGCTACTTCAGCATTTATTTCAGTCAATGTTCTGCTTCTTTCAGATTTAGAAACTCAGCTCCTTCAGCAGTTTTCAGATTAATTTTCTCATTAAAATTTGATTTATGAAAAAAAATTCTATAAATAAATAAATAAATACACAAAGCTTTAAGCCATAAAGCAATACTGGCTCTGAAAATTTCCAAATGTTCAGTGAACTGGGCCTGTGTTTCTGTCGGCTGTTTTTACTTTGTGCTGCGAGGTTCTGGCGGTCCGTTGCCCTGAAGTTTCTTCACCAGCAGCTCGCTGCTGCGGCGTAAGACGTCTCGGAGTTTCCCCAGAGAGCCGCTGCGCTGCAGAGCTCCACTYCCGTCCTGCAGACACACAAACACCAGCTCTGCTCCAGTCACTCCTGAAATATAACCTTCATTTTTCTGCAAACCAATAACTGCTTCAGTTAAACACAACGAACTTTAATAACAAATAAAGAAATCTATATTACGTGACGAACTGTAAAAACACCTAAAATACAATCGTTTATGTTTAAAAACCTCACTGTAAACAGTAGAATTTAATTTTTTTAACAAATGTATTAAATTAATTTTTAATTTACACCAACAATAATTTAATGTCTTAAAACTGGGAGAAGGTAAAATAATAACAAAAATATATCTTGACACCATCTTAACTAAAACGATGGCATTAAAAGGAGCTCTCAGGCAACCTGTTTGCACTTTGAGTGTTGAGGGTGACTCTCAGCTACTACCACACCAAACATGAGCTGAATATCTGTAAAACTGACAGAGTCYTAGGCATGTTTGTTTGGTTCAACGGCTTTAATTCATCTAAAACAGAGTTTTATTCATATCAGTCCAACGGTTCATGAGCTTTTTTGATAAAAGTCCGACAGCGTTTCGCTATCAGTGATAAAAGATGCTGTTTTTTATTTTATTTTTATTCATATTTTGTGAAAATAAACAGAATCAGAGTTTTATCATCATGTGTTTGGGATTATAAGTTTATATTTTAATATAAGGACAGCAAACAATAATCAGTCATTTTTAAATTCAGCCCATTTCTTTTCCAAATGCGGTCAAAACATTAATTTATCCATCTGCTCATTCATTTAAAATCTGAATATTCTTTTGCACAAAGTAGCCATTGGAATGATAAAATATTCTTGCATACTCCTGATAGTACTACAAAAATATATATTTTT